GTGGTGAGATACCGCGTTGTTTATTCTCCGAACACTTGGAAGCAGTGTACAGTGGTTCTGATTACATCAGAATTCTGCGATATCCCTTTCTAAATTATGCGAGAAGCGCGTGCTCTCACTGTTTCTGCCCTTTGAGATTGAATGCGGCTGTATCAAGTTACACTGGTGGCAGCTCTGAGCAAAACCGCCATTCCATAGGAAGCTCCGTTGGGGACGTGCTTGAAAGTTGTGTCTAGTAGGTCAGCATTTGACTACGTTGCTTCCCGTTTCCCTTAGGCGACCTGCAAATTTAAGAAATAGGTAAAGGCGGTGAACGTTGGTAAAAAGCCTACCGTTTTAGGATAGAATAAACACTCGACTGTCATACCTACCATTCTCCTTAATTTTGTGAGCTTCCTACCAGTTTTCCCGAATTTTTTCCTAGTTTTTCCCCAGAATCCAGTTTTCCCGATTTTTTTCCTGGTTTTTCCCCAAAAACCGCCGTCGAGCAGGGACAGAGGGAAAAAGGTTGACATAGCCGAAACGGAGAAAACCGGTAAAAGTCAATAGCTGGATATTTATTGCGTCTCGGGATAATTTTTCTCGAAGCTAACCTTCTCCTCTCGGCAACCACGTACGAATCGTCCTCTTCGGGATTCTCCCAGCGATGCTGCACCCTGGTTCATATTCCTCGGAAAAGCTTAGAAGCCAAAGCTAATCAGTTGTTTTGGAAGATCGGCAGTGGTAATTGAAAGCGCTCGAATTTTTGCATTTTTCGGAGAATTAGGCTCTCAATCTCCAAAAATTCCACGCAGTCCATGGCGCTGGCGCCAGCGATAACGAATAAAATTGGTTTGGGCCTGTCCCAGCAAGGTGGGGCAGCGTTGAGTCCTACCCAACCTGTTCCGTTCAGGGGAACTCTTCACCACCTCCCTCCCCATCCCTTTCACCCCCTCCGCTAACAATCACTTCTTCTGCCCGTACCTTCACTTTTCCACATAATTCTCTTCTTCCCTTCGTCTTGGGTTCCCCCCGGTTACTCAGACTACTAAGCAGTCAAACAGTATGCTCCTGGCATCTAGGCTGTTTCTGCGAGCTTTTTCAAGGCATAAAAGCGTCTCGCAAGCCCTCCATTGGGTGCCACAAGCTTCTGCAGTGTTCCAATGCTTTTATTGCCAGATGGCGCATGACTTTCAAAACAGTATGGCGGTTGGGCCTGAATTTTCAGCAGGGGTCGCTTGGGTTTCTCACAGTCAAGGACGCGCCGAAGTGCCTCTCGGAATGCAGTGTCTGCCTACACCGGCACTTGCTCATATATGGACATTGTCGGATGTGAATAAAGATGGCAAGCTCACTGTCGACGAATTTTGCATTGCTATGCACCTTATAGACATGGTTAAAGTGAGCTGCTAAATTTATCTTGGGAGCCGAACTTTACACTCACCTCGTCCTTGCCGTATACGAGGAGGAGATTGGGTCCACAGCCACAGTGATGTGCATCTTTCCCCGTTTTAGGGTGTCCGGAAGCGGAGCTGGAGGGTAGTGATGCCCACATGCTGTCTCCATACTCCGCCCGCGCTGCTGCTTAGCCTGCCCCACGCCCAACCGTAGCCAAACGCGCTACTTATCTGCTCCGTCTCTTTTTTCTAGTTGTTCTATATCGCTGAGTGCGTGTTTCGTGGGACATTGGTATAGACGCAAGCGTATCGCGGGCGGAGTATAGAGACGGCACTCGGGCAACACTACCCTGCGAGCACGTTCCCGTGCACTTTTGAACGCGGAAAAAGGCACGCTGGCGCACCTGTGCACTCATTCGCCTCGCACATAGGAAGTACCGATCTCGGAGGTGGGTGTACGGTTCGTCTCTGAATTCTTCGCTTCCTTCTACCAATTTTTTTTTCCAAAAATGAAGTCCCTTGGCAGGCCGGTTACGCACTTCCCGATCAAACTCCTCCAGAATTGGTGCAGATGTGTGGTCTCTCACGATCAGCAAGTAATAGTCCTCAGTTAGAACCCGGTGCACCCCCAGCACAGAAGAGTCCGGCTCCAAAGACGTTTGAGGACAAGCGTATGGATAACTTTGCTCGTGGGCAAGCGGAATTGGAACGAAGGCGACAGCTGCTCATGGAGGAGGTTCGTTTAACGGTGAAGTAGAAGGGTGGCTTAAGAACTAGGTTACGTAGCCCGAGCATGATGTGATTGGCCCTCTTTCATTGGCCTTAATTTTCTAGGAAAATCGACGACGAGCCGAAGTTGAAAAGCGAGAACGAGAAGAAGCTGAAAGGAAAGAGAGGGAGCGGTTAGAAAAAGAAAGGCAACGTGAACTTGAACGACAAGCGGAATTAGGTATTTGATTTTGTCAGTGAACTTTTCTCATGGTATAATTCAGAAGTTTTTATCTTTTTCTCTTCTTTGTAAAAGTTGTTCGTTTTTCTTTGCATGTGCAGAGGTGGTCTAGTGGCTAGTATCCGCTTGTCACGTACGCGTCCCTCCGGTCGAAGCTCGGATTCTGTCAAATAAGCCTACTGTCGCCCCGGATTTTTATGGTACCAGGTTTGTCTGAGAAGAGCGGAACTCCGCCTCAGACATGATTCGCACTCATAGCAAGTCATTGTATAAGTTGAATTGCGTCCAAATGGTGTTACGCCCGTGACTGGCTAACGCGCTACGTCGCGAGTCTGAACGCTGCCTACCCGCTTGAAGGCCTTTTTTGGAAAAAGCGGAAAAATCTGATATGATCTTTTGGGAAAGTGGTAGGTATGTAGTCGAGAGAAAAGCTAGGTAATCGGTAGATAAGATAAGGAAAAGGGTCTTACCAGGTAAGGATGTTTTTTTTGGAGAGTGGGGGGGGGTCGTACTATACCGCCATTTCTTACATTCCGATGCTGTGTCCTGCCCTCGGAACATGTTTGCACCGATATTCGGGTTCCTATATTCGTTGTGGATCGATTTACATGCTCTCCTTTTTTAAGGTCTGATATGTCAAGGGATTTGACAGATGAACAATATTGTTATCCTGTGTTAATCCATCTTTGTAAGCGCTGCGTCTATGGGCTATTCATCTCAGCGCGAATTTCATGGAAATATGAAATAGCCTAGCAGTACAGCCATCGACTGGTGGAGGGGGATTTGTCGTTCCGTGCTTTTGGATATGAAGACGTGGATCAGAAATTCGACAGGAGAATTAACCACACCTCTAAGGTCCATGATTGAGCCTTTGTAGCAGGTGGAGGTCCGTTTCCGCTACCTGAAGACACACCCTGTGAGCGTAACCCGTACTGTAATTTGCATGGACCTTTTCCGAAGTTGAGAGACCATCTGTGTAACGTCGATGTTTCCGCCCTCTCTGACAGGCTTGTCAGTGTGCTGTGCTTGCCTACTTTTGAATTCATTCCTGCTGAGATACTGCCTTAGTGGCTACTACGAACGATTCCATGAAAACCAGTTGTTTGGGGAGTCGCAACTCGTAGGTCTCCACCTTTTAGCCTTCTTTCAATACGAAGAAGTGCATGTTTCCGAAGAAGATGCAGTAGTTGTTTGTTTGCACTCATTTTTCCGCCGATTCACTTAATGGGTCTTCCCTAGCGAATGTAGGAACTCGTTCAACTAACAAGGGAAGGATGGTAGGTCGAAGTGGCCATTTGAAATGAAATGTATACCGGCTGAAAGGTCTTCGGACGGGAATTACGAAACCGTCTTCCATATCTGCTGCGGACCTCCCAGAAAGAAGTTACGGAGCTTTTTGGGGGAGAATCACTACAAATTGGCGGCGTAAGGCTATCGAGATCGTGGCAGCATGGCCGAGTGGATACGTCGTAGGGCTCACGGATGCGTGGTCGAGGGTTTGAATCCTTGATGCGTGTGCTCTTTTGCATTTTTTCGAAAGTGGCCCCTGTGCACTTCAAAGCCATTTTGCATAACACTTGTCCATGATAACGTCGTGATGTAATGATTCTGAACTGATGGAGCCATTGCGAACCATTCAATAGAAATCACTTCTGGCTGTTGTCTTCCTCTTTCTTTGATTTGAAGAGCATATACAACAAAAGTGCACTCCAAAGAAAGATTTTGCCTTCAAATGAATTTATTCTCCAAACGACATGACCGGAAAACGAATCCGAAGTTGTGCAGGAAGATGATTATAGTGGGGAAAATGCTTCCATATGAAGTGGCGTTGATGTGGCAATCATGCTGGAGATCGCGATGGGCAAGAGCTTCATTCACCAGTGGCATAATGTTGAATTATGTCTATCTCAAAGAGTTTTCGTATCTGCTGGAAGTTTTCGGCTCGTATGACAATCTTTTCAGCCGGAGGTGATCTCCATGAAATCGTTCGCAATGGCTCCATCAGTTCAGAATCATTACATCACGACATTATCATGGACAAGTGTTATGCAAAATAGCTTTGAAGTGCAGAGGGACCACTTTCGAAAAAATGCAAAAGAGCACACGCATCAAGGATTCCAAACCCAGCAAACCCGTGAGCCCTACGACGTACCCACTCGGCCATGCTGCCACGATCTCGATAGCCTTACGCCGCCAATTTGTAGTGATTCTCCCCCAAAAAAGCTCCGTAACTTCTTACTTCTTTTGAGAGGTCCGCAGGCAGATATGGAAAGTTATCGTAATTCCGTCCGAAACCATTTCACGCGGTATACTTTCATTTCAAATTGGCCACTTCCGAACCTAACATCCTCCTTGTAAGAGGAATACTGCGTACTGCATATGATTGGTTCTTGTCAGTTTATCTTTATGTCATTAGCTGTGAGTTCTAGTCAGTATTATTTCACTGACATAGCATACCTGCGGATTAATGATGTTTTTAAGAACGTATGCGACAGTTAGAGGAAGCTCGGCTTGAGCAAGAAATGAAGCGTCAAGCTGAACGAGAAGCGGCCCGAAAAGAAGCGGAGCGTCAACGACAGATCGAAGCAGAGAAGATGCGACTCAAGGAAATGCAGGTAGGTGCTTGTTCCACGATTCCCTAAGCGATTCACGGAGCAGCTCTGAAGTATCCATCCGGAATACCCAACGGCTCATGTTTGTTACATATTTGAGTTATTCTTTCAGTAGCACTGTCTGGCCTACTTGCATTTTTTGCGGCCTCGGTTCAGTGGTAAATGCGCCTTGCTCAGCTAAGCTTGCACAGGTCGCCTGGTGAAAACCTGTAAACACCTGTTAAAACGTGGCTCACTTCTACCATTCCGCAGCTTCACAAGAGTTTACAAGTTTCACTAAAGGCGGACCTGTTATCGTGACCTGTTGAGCATGAAATAAAAAACGAACATACGAAAGTGCAAAATGCCCCCTCTGAGGCCGAACAGCGCCAACATATCGCTGAAAGTTACTACCTTCAGAATCAGAAACAGCTGAGGCCAACTGAACAGCGCCCAACGCGCAACAACGCCAGAAAACCTTGACGTTTCAACTTCAAGCCCTTAATGAGAAAGCAGTGGACACAGACTCGAACGTTACAAAGGTATGATTTCGATGGCTACCGATTTCCGGCACACTTAAAGTTACACCCCTGGCACGGCACCCATCAGGACAATCGCATATTGGTCTGGAGATCCTTGTTGCTGCGACACGGCGCCGTAGCTGATTTTGCATGCGTGTCATAAGCGTTACGAACCTCACAATCATTAGGGCATCACGCAACCGCGCGCGGGTGACGTATATTCTGCAAAGCGTCGTAATGTGGATCTCCTAACCAGCACCCAGGAAGCCATGTTTTACACAGATCAGTGACAGCACTGCTTTGCTGAACGAAAATCATGACCTCACAGCTGTTTTTTCGTTTCTGGCGCTGGGGCGTTTCAGAGGCGCTAGGTCTGGCGCGGTTCCAGCCACATTTCTACCAATTTTGGTCACCTGGCAAATTTCATAATAGGCGGAGAAGGACGCACCAAATTCAGCTCCTGAAAGAACAAGACTGTAGGCATCTTTTTCAAGCTAGATTTGGGCCAAAGAACAATTGAAGCCGCGGCTTCAAGTGAAAAAATGAAGAAACGTTTCACGATCACCTCATGGGTAGAATCCGTCCCTTTTAGGCAGCGCTTCGGTCGCGCGTTCGACGCGATCGATGCAGTCTAAAGCATGCGCATCGATCGGCTACCGTCGCGAAGTCTGAGCGCTGCCTTACGAGTAGCTGCTCGCAGTCACAGAAACGCCGTTATTGACGAGGAAGCGCCCCCGTAGGCCCCCGGGATGCCTCCCCCTTTCCCCCGTATGAATTCTGATGATGTGCCGAGGATTGCGGTCGCGCAAACTGGCAGAGTATTTGCTGTTTTGTTAACTTGACACAGCCAAGCACTGCCACATTAAAGCAATTTGGTCGCGGTGCGAATGTTGCGCACGTGACCCTCTTCGCATCACTTCTTTCGCCGCGCTAGTCGCGACTGGGTGGTTGCGATGTATACCCTGGGAGTCAGCGAGTCATCTGGTGCTGGGTTATGTCAGTGTCCGGTAGATATGTGTGAAGGCGTTAGTTTCCGCGCGGAATAATGCTTGTCGCTTCACCCGTTTTCTTGTTGCTGATATCTGCTCTTTTTATCCGCTCAACAAGCGCCTCGTGTCTTCAAATGCTCTTATAGGGCTGGGTCTCAATCAGTGCGCTTTTGACGGTTCTTCACAATTAGAATGTTTTTCTTAAGTTGATCATGTTCAGGCTCGTGAGCGCATAGCTGAGATCACGCACGAAATTGAGGGTATGAGAGATCAACGTGATGAGAAGATGCGTCGTATTGCAGAGTTACAATCAAATAATCAGCAGGTGAGCTACTCCGATGTTATCAGGAAGGGTCGCCTGCAATCTTCTGCGGGGTTCGATAGAGGGGTCGTATTTGACCCGCGGAACTTTTTTCTGATTGTTGTTTGTCCCTCTTTCATACCTAAATACATCGTTGGAAGAATCCCCATAGGGAGGGGGGGGGTTGTGGTGGTCGTACTTGCTCGTCGTTGGTAGAGGTCCACCAGCGGCGGGAAGTGCCCTGCTAGTTGTATTGTTTCAACCACCCCTTCAGAAAAAACTTCTGCTTGGTTTCTTGGTAACGAAGCCATTAGTTTATATTATGATAACTGCTGTTTTACGCCGCAGCATTCTTGTGAAGCCATTAGTGTTCCGTCATTGCCAGGTTTTGGTTTGAGTTAGTTCGTTTAGTTTGGTTTGGTTCGATTGCGGCCTCCGACTTACATCCCTTATATCATTTTTCGTGAATGATTCAAAAATGACCCACATATCCATTTTCTTGCACTCATTTTCGTCACTTCTTGGACAGTTCATATATTCAGAAAAGGAATAATATCAATTCCCCTCGTTTACTGTTTCTTTTTCAGCTAAGTGTCCAAGCACAGGAGTTAGCACATCAACTTCTGCAGCTGCAAAGCGCGAATAAAGAAACGGTAGCAAGAAAAGCTGAATTGGAAGAGCTAAGGAAGCGAAGAGATGCTGCCAAAGTTATAGTCGCGGAAACAGCTGCACAGTTGGAGACGACGCGATCGAGGAC